TCCAAAATCTATGAAAAATGTTCCAAAATCTATGAAAAATGGTCTAAAATCTATGAAAAATGTTCCAAAATCTATGAAAAATGTTCCAAAATCTATGAAAAATGTTCCAAAATCTATGAAAAATGTTCCAAAATCTATGAAAAATGGTCTAAAATCTATGAAAAATGTTTCAAAATCTATGAAAAATTATCAAAAATCCACGAAAAATGTTCCGAAATCCATGAAAAATGGTCTAAAATCCCTGAAAAATGTTCCGAAATTCATGAAAAATGGACTAAAATCCATGAAAAATAGTCCGAAATCCATGAAAATTGGTCTCAAATCTATGAAAAATGGTCTAAAATCCACGAAAAAGCTCTGAAATGCGAATTTTCAGCCGATTTCCCTCGGTTTTCCGCTATTTTCAGCCAATTTCCCTATTCCAGAAACGCCATAAACTTCGAGGAGATTGTGGGCGGAGCCAACAAGCGTCGTTACATTCAGAAGACGGTATTCAATGAGCTTCTGAAGTTGGTGGATCCAGGAGTCACGCCATTCACACCAACCAAAGGAAAACGCAACGTCTTCATGTTTGTCGGTCTTCAGGGATCCGGAAAAACCACCACGTGTTCTAAGGTGAGGTTTAGGATGAGCAATATGGGGGATTTGAGCGAAAAAATAAGATTTTTAGGGGAAAAATCAGCAAAAAATCACAATTTTAGTATAAAATTGAGATTTCTAGTGAAAAAGTAATGATTTTAGAGCCAAAAGGCGGAATTTTAGGCAAAAATTGAGATTTCTGATGGAAAAATCAGGATTTTAAAATGAAAAGTTGAGGTTTTCCGTCGGAAAAATTGATGTTTTTAGCTGAAAAATTGAAATTTTCTTTCAAAAATGATGGATTTTCAGTTAGAATTCGTCTAAATTCAGATTTCAGAGTCAAATTACCGAGATTCTAGGTAAAAATTCGCGATTTTTGGGCCTAAATTAGCCTAATTAGTGGTTTTATAGTCGAAAATTAAGATTTCTAATTGAAAAATAAAAATTTTAAGGTAGAATTCGGCTGAATTAAAGCTGAGCAATCTGATTTTCCGCTCGAAAATTGAAATTTCGGGCTTGGAAAGCTTGGATTCCAAGAGAGAATTTGAGATTTTAGAGTTAAATTATCAGAATTCTAAGTGAAAAATTATGATTTTCGAGCCTAAATTAGCATAGTTAGCGGGTTTATAGCCAAAAAATACGATTTTTGACCCCTTTTTTAAGCTGAGCAATCGAAAATTCCCACTTTCAGATGGCGTACTACTACCAACGAAAGGGATGGAAGACGTGTCTGATCTGTGCGGATACATTCCGTGCTGGAGCCTTCGATCAGCTCAAACAGAACGCCACGAAGGCCAGAATCCCATTCTATGGATCGTATTCCGAAATTGATCCTGTCAAAATTGCGGCGGAAGGAGTCGAGAAGTTTACGGTAAGGATTTCGAGGGGTTTGGGTCCAAAAATAGGAGTTTTTGGTTAAACATCGGTTTTCTTATGCTGAAAATCGTTGGAAAAACTGAAAATTGACTGAAAAACAGGATTTCAGACATATTTCGATAGTAAAAAAATATGAAAAATGCTCCAAAAATCATGAAAAATGCTCCAAATTTCATGAAAAATGATCCAAAATCCATGAAAAATGGACCAAAATTCATAAAAAATGAACCGAAATTCATGAAAAATGGACCGAAATTAATAAAAAATGAGCCAAAATCCATGAGAACTGCTGAAATTGGTCTAAAAATTACCATTTTCAGTCATAAATTGTCTCTTTTTTAGTATCGAAGTGTCTGAAAAATCGAAATTTCAGCAATTTTCAACGTTTTCTAGACAAAATGCTTGCCCCAAATGCTGAAAAATAGCTCTAAAACCCCCCAAAACCCTCTAATTTTGCAGAAAGAAGGATTCGAAATCATCATCGTGGATACATCGGGACGTCACAAGCAAGAAGCGTCGCTTTTCGAAGAAATGCTCCAAGTTTCGAACGCCGTCACTCCGGATAACGTCGTCTTCGTGATGGATGCATCGATTGGACAGGCTTGTGAGGCTCAGGCACGCGCGTTCTCACAGACTGTGGATGTGGCCAGTGTTATTATCACTAAACTTGATTCTCATGCCAAGGGAGGAGGAGCGCTGTCGGCGTAAGTGTGAAATTTGATTGAAAATTCTGGAAATTAGGCTGAAAATAGACCCAAAAATGGTCCAAAAGTGACCGAAATC